CTGGCTGGATTGATTTAGTTGGGAATTGATCCTGCTTTGAGCAGGGGGTTGGACTAGATGACCTCCTGAGGGCCCTTCCAACCCTGATATTCTATGATTGAATTATACTTCCTGTGCCACGCCTGACCCTTTGGGGGGTGGGCTCAGAGCTCCCTGGCTCCACCCACTCTGGTGTCCAGAGGGGCTCGTGTCTCTCTGGGGCATCAGGGACCCACACCGCCTCACTACCGTTAGTAATGAGCAATGAGGTCTTTTCTTTCTTTGAGATATAGGGGCTTTCACAAGCCTAACTCCTTGTGCGGAGAGTAGATTCTGTGGCATTTACATGCTGTGTAATTTAAACTATATCAAGATGCCTGTCACATGAGGCACCATTGCGGGTTTATAACTCTAAATAAATAAATGCGCAATAGTATCACACAGGTAAAGAGTCTTCAAGCCTACAGTGGGAATAAGAAAGGAAATGCATTGACCTGAATTTCTGTATCTTTTCTTCTTGTTTAAACATGGTGTCTCTCCACAGCTTCCAAACATCTGTGGTCTTACATGTGTAGCACATTTCTGTCTTTGCAGGTACTGACATTGTGCAGTGGCTCATGAAGAACCTCAGCATCGAGGACCCAGGTAATATGACTGTTGAAAGTGAACAACCTACCAGTAGAGTGTGGGTGGGTGGGTGGGTGGCATTAGATATTAGGTACCTGTCTGTCACTGAGTCTAGGGCTGATAAAGCAATGAGGTTGTAGTCATCAGGAGAGAAGTGGGAAAGAAAGGGATATGAATCATAGTTGCTGTCCCTCAGCATATCAGTGAATTGTAGAACCTTGTCCCGCTAACGCCAGAATCCTATATAATACTTTCAAGCCATTTGTTAAACATTTACCTAGGTGAAAAGGCCTGGGGCCCTGACGGTACACCTATGGGCAGATCCTCAACTTGTGTAAACTTGCATAACTCTGAAGTCAAGGAACTTTGACAGTTTATATCAGCTGGGGAGCTATCCCCTGATGTGCAGCTTGCTTGAGAGGGAACTGAAGTTGCCACCTGTGCTGCCAAAAGTTGCAGAACAGCATCCCTCTGCCTTAGTGCATTTCTCTCTGAGTAAAGCCCTTTGCTCCCTTTTTAAAATTTGTTGCCATATTAATAAAGATGCTGTTAGCAGTATATCATTCCAGCTGTTTGTATAATTTAGAGAAATGAAGGGATTCACTGTTGGAATGGGTTTCTTGTTAATGGTAATGTACAGTACATTTGAATTGAATTTCACAACGTAGAGCAGTGTGACACCCTGTAAGCATCAGTGGGGACATTAAAATCATCAGGTTAACATTTTCAGTAGAGTCGACCAATACTATAAGGTTCGTTTTCACTTTTGTATAATTTGGTTGGAGAACTGAGGGGTACACCAGGTCTGACTCTGAGCCACCATGAGATCTGCTGAAAGCAATGGATTTCCTAGTGCAGCGGTTCTGAAACCTTTAGTAACCTGAGGACCCCCATTTTGATTTTAAATTTTGCTGCAGACCCCCAAGACCCCTGCTGAGACCCAAGGCCCCACCCCCACTCCACCCCTTCCCCCAAGGCCCCACCCCTGCCCCACCTCTTCCTGCCCCCGCTCCACCCCTGCCCCTCCTCTTCCCTGCCTCTTTTTGCCCCCTCCCTCTTCTACCCCCATCTCCCCTCCTGTCCATCCCGCCCAGTGCCTTCGGCACACCGGGGAACAGCTGTTCCCTGGCATGCAGGAGGCACTGGGAGGGATGGACAGGAGTTGATCAGCAGGGCCCACCGATCCCTTGGAATACCCTTGCAGACCCCAGTTTGAGAAATGCTGCCCTTGTGTACATCTGTCTGACAGATTTCTACTGTTTTCTTTCTTTCCCTCTCACAGTGGAAGCAATACACATGGGAAGTCTTATAGCAGCACAGGGCTATATCTTTCCAATCTCAGACCATGTTCTTACCCTGAAAGATGATGGGACCTTCTATCGTTTTCAGGTAGGCGAGCCCTCTGCTTCCTACATTGTTGCTTCTATTATCACTGAAATGTTTACCTGTACACTGAGTGCTGTTGAAGTTAATACAATGCAAAGATCACTATACTTATTGAGGTCATTTGGGCACAGCCATGAAGTACCAGTGAAGTCCCTTTAAGAAAATTTGTTCTACAGTCCCAAAGTATGTTTATCTGATGCCTCTGAATCAAAACCCAAAATCTTGAGGTAAGTCGTTTTCAGAATCTGAATCTGGGCCTGAATTTGGTAGCTAGTTTTCTATGTGTAATGGGCTGGACCAACACCCAGATCCGAACACATGCAAACACTGAAGTGTTAGAAATCTGCATCCAGTTCCATGCTCAGTTTTATATTAGGTTAGTTGGATCATCTTTCAGTTAAAGCATAGTTTTGGAAGTCAGGAGATCAGGGTTCCATTTCTGGCTCTGCCACAGAGTCTCTGTGACCTTGGCAAAAATCATTTAAATTCTCCATGCCTCAGTTTCCCCACGTTGACTCTGTTCCCAGCTGTGTCGTGTTTAACTGCAGGACCTAGTTATTTTACACTTCCTAAAATCTGCTGATCCAAGACTTCCCTGTTAATTCACTGATTGGGCTCCAGAAACTCCTTTTCTATTACAGATTGTCTATTATTGAAAATGACCAGAAAAGATCAAAGGTGGAGCTCGTGGTGTAAAGTTTCAAACTGAATTTGTTTCCACCTATCATATGGTCCATAGTAACGCTAATAATACCTGAATACCTGGCTTTTCTATAGTGCTTTTCCACCATAGAGTTCAAAGCACTTTGCAAAAATTTTATCATTATCCCCATTTTACGGAAGGGAAGCTGAGGCTAAGGGAGGTGAAGTGACCTGCCCCAGGTTAACCAGCAGCCCGCATCAGAGCTGGGAGTAGGTTCCAGGGCTCTTTCCACTAGGTCACTGGTCTTCCTGTCCTCTCTCTTCTGTTTACTGCTGCCTTCTCCATCATCTAACTCCTCCCTTCCTTCTGTGTTGCCCTTAGTTTAGCTTTTATTGAAAAGACTTTCATCTCTGCCTCTGCTGCTGCTGTCACTAGCTCCCGCTGCCCTACTGCTGCATGTTGTTTTCACTTAAGAAGCAGAAGTGTAGATTAATTACCAACTAGTCATTAACTCACCTGTACAGTTGTACTTTCCCACTGGGCCTCATTAAAAGACATATCAAGAAAGGATAATTAGCAGGATGTCATCGCCAGCTGTCAAAAACTCCTATCCTCCACCCTGTCAGCCAGGCTCCAACATCAGGGTCATGTTTAACTCCCTTTCCCCATTTTCATCCCACATATGCACTGTCACCAGATCATGTTGTTTTTTCCTTCAGTGTCTTTTGCTCTAGAACAGTGGTCACCAACTGGTAGATCGCGACCGACTGGTCTATCCTGGAGCCTCTGCCTGTTGATCGTGATCTCCGGCCGCTAAAAGTCCGGCGACGCAGCAGGGCTAAGGCAGGCTCCCTGCCTGCTCTGGCCATGCACCGCTCCTGGAAGCGGCCAGCACGACCCTGAAAACCTGGCGTGGGGGTGCAGGAGTCTCTGCGCTGCTCCTGCCTGCAAGCACTGTCCCCACAGCTCCTATTGGCCGGGAATGGGGAACTGTGGCCAATGGGAACTGCGGGGGTGGTGCCTGCAGAGAGGGGCAGCACGCGGAGCCACGTGCCCACACCCCGGGGGCTGCAGGGTCATGCTGGCCACTTCCAGGAGTGGCTTGGGGCCGGGGCAGGCAGGGTGCCTGCCTTGGCCCTGCTGCACCACCAAATGGGATCTGCCCGAGATAAGTGCTGCCTGGTGGGATCTCGCACCTCTCCCACCAGGCAGCCCTGAACCCCTCCCAGAGCCAGCACCCTGAACCCCTTCCTGCACCCTGAACCCCCTGCCCCAGTCCTGAGCCCCCTCCCAGAGCCAGAACCCTGTATCCTCTCCTGCACCCCCAACATTCTGACCCAGCTCGGAGCCCCCCGCTGCCCTCAAACTCCCTCCCACAGTTTGCACCCATCACCCACTCCTGAACCCCAAACCCCAGCCCCAGGCTCAGCCCAGAGCCCCCTCCCACACTCCAAACCCCTTGGCCCCAGCCCAGAGCCTGCATCCCCTCCCGCACCCCAACCCACTGCCTCAGCCCGGTGAAAGTGAGTGAGAGTGAGTGGATATTAGGAAAAACTTTTTCACTAGGAAGGTGGTGAAGCACTGGAATGGGTTACCTAGGGAGGTGGTGGAATCCCCTTCCTTAGAAGTTTTTAAGATCAGGCTTGACAAAGCCCTGGCTGGGATGATTTAGTTGGGGATTGGTCTTGCTTTGAGCAGGGGATTGGACTAGATGACCTCCTGAGGTCCCTTCCAACCCTGATATTCTATGATTCTTGAGAGTGAGCAACAGAGGGAGGGGGGATGGAGTGAGTGGGGCAGGGTCTTGGAGAAGGAGTGGGGCCCCAGGGAAGGGAAGGGGTAGATCCTGGGTTGCACTTAAATTCAAAAAGTGATCATATGTGTAAAAAGGTTGGCGAACACTGCTCTAGAACCTTGTCTACCCATTGGTCATCTCTCAATGCCCTGCCACATATTTTGCCTCAGTCATTCTACACAAAAATATTCTGCTAGAATCACCTTCCTATTCCACTAATCTGAATATATCATCCTCTTGTCTTCGCATGGAATGTGTTAGAGTAGGTGTGACCAGAGGGCCAGAGGAGCCACACCGAGGTTACTCAATTAGGGAGAACTGCAAAGAATGGGACAGACAATCCCCAAAGCCGGTGGATATTCCAATACTTAGATTTACCAAGCCAGCACAAATCAGCTTCTATAATACCTTACTGGTTACCCAGAAGCCAACAACACAGTTCCCTTAAATCAACCCAGCCTCAGGCCTTCACCCAGACACCCAAGTCAACTATGATGAGGATTACTGAAAATCTTATTCATCATATAAGAAAGTTCTACCAATCCCAAAGGATCGGACACATTACCTCCCAGATTAATCAATATTTCAGATCTTACCCAAATACATGCTTACAGACAATCCTTATTAACTAAACTAAAATTTATTGAAAAAGAAAAGAGAGACAAAGTGTTAAAAGATCAGTATAGATACAGACATGAGTATAGTTCTGAGATCAGATTCATAGTAGAGATGGTGAGCTTTGTAATTGCAAATAGTTCTTTCAGAATTAGTCCATAGGTTATAGTCCAATGTTCATATTCAGGGTGATCCAGATAGGACTGGAGATCTCAGTCTTAGGACTTAAGTTTCCCCTGCATGAAGCATCAAGCAGATCTGAGATTAAAAGGATCAGGACCCAAGACAGTTTTTATACAGTTCTAGGCCTTCTTTTGACAGCTCAGAGTCCTTAGGCGAACAATAGGCAATCATGGAGACTTTGAAGTAGACCTATTTCCTAAGCATCACTGGTAATTAGCTACATGGATTAAATAAGGCAATTGCCTGTTCTTCCACTATTTGCAGGTGATTTGCTATACATTTCAAAGAGAGATGAATACAGTGATATTACTATGTTTACAGTTCATTTAAATGTTAAGATATCCTTTTGATCTCTGAATTAACAGAATACGGCATAGACAGGGATTGTTTGACTACATTATTGACCTCTAACAAGATATGAGTACACACATACAATGAGTATCACTTCTAATTTCTCACAATATAAGTTTGCATTTTAAAGTTCTAGTGTATCTACCATGGAATGGCCCTCATTACCATTCACATACTTTTCTAACATGTCTCTAAAGGTTGGATCTGGGTCATTTATTCTGCAGGCTTTAACCCTTTCTGACCATGCATCATACTTTGTATAAGATTCGTTGCAATTATGTAACAGTGGTAGCAACAATGATTTGCATGGTCATATTTTAATCAGATAATGTCACAGTAGGATTTGGACTAAATATTTTTTGACCCCTCCATGTGCTCATTAACAGTTCCTTTCACTGCTCCTTGGCACAAAGATATGTCATCTTCATGCATACAAAGTGCTATGCCCACTTTTGGCACTTATAATAATAGTGCACTGTAACTCACGTAGCTACAGAGAAGTTACTCTTTCATGCACATTAAAACTGCAATGTAACTACCATGTAGTTAATATTGTTGTAATTAATTGTAGCAGAAAGTTTAAGCTGGGTGGTTACAGTGTTCTCTCCTGAGCAGATTGGAAAACCAGTGATGTTAGTTTGGGTCCTGCTTTCAAAACTACAATGTTAGATTGGGTTTTGAAATTTGGCAAAACTGATTTTCCCATTCTTAATCTGAATTGTATTGTCCGATTAATTTAGAATGTAAATTGGGGCAGGAGACTGTATCTTCCTCTGTTTTGTACAGTGCCAAGCACATTAACAGTGCTCAAAACCCAATGATATGTACAATATGTAAAAAGGCCACAGGAAAGTTCTCACACTCCTTAAAGATGGCTCAAGGTAAAAGGTTCCTTTGGAGTGAGGAAAGTTGCCGGGGGATGGGCAAACAAGCCAATACTCAAATGTAGGGGTGGGGGTGTCTAAAGATAATCTGATTATTAGGAACCCTGAATCTGTGTATTGGTCTCTTCATCTATCCCTAGGCACTGAATGCAGAGAAAGTTTGCCGATACCCTACTGATGGCCCAGTCCTGTGTCCACTGAAGTCAATTGCAGTATTTTCATTGATTCCATAAGAACAGGGTTTGGAATTTAGGCTGTCAAGGGCATCATAATATTAATAATTTTCAGTTGCATTAAGGTTTGTTGTTGTTTTAAGCTTAAATGTAATTGTTAAAATATGATGTGCTGTTTTTCAGGCCCCATACTTTTGGCCTTCAAACTGCTGGGAACCAGAAAATACAGACTATGGTGAGAAAATATTCTAGTTTTTGAAAATTCCTGTTGAAAGTGTCAGAAGTAACACTGTTGCCCTGTAGAAATTATTTATTGGTGGTCTACAACATTTCATGCTTGGAGTTTCCTCTTCAACTCCAGCTAAGGGCCATATCACATGCCATCCTTACATTAGGTGAAATCCCAGCTCCATTGAAGGCAATGGGGGTTTGCCATTTACTTCAATGGGGCCAGGATTTCACCCATTGAGTAGCACCTTTCTTCTCAAATAGTCCTATTGATTTTAACAGGACTACTTAGGGTGTAAGATTATAGTCAATGTGAAGGTATAAGTATCTCCTTGTAAGAATTAGTAGGGTCTAGTAGCATAAAGATTGCTTCTGTGGTGGAATACTCTCTGATCTGTAGCTGAATTTGAACTGTTAGTCAATAAGTGTTAATCCTGTTTGGGCACTGAACTGGATGCTCAATAAACAGTTATCTAACCAACAATAACATACCATTAGCAGTGTCAAACAAAAATTAAGCTTTTCTGATACATGGCATTAAAAAACATGAAAAGGGAAAATACGTTTAAATTACCAGATGATAACTGGTGACAGAAGAATAACAATGGTTTATGAGCTAATAAATCACAGTACCCTATATTAAACATCTGAGTGGCTGAGAACAGGAATAATGCATAAAGAAAATATAGCAGTGTTGTCCTCTTTAGCTGTCTCTGTGCATTATTGCTCTCTCTTGTAGAACTACACTGTTCTCATAGCTACATGATAAAATCAGTTATTCCATCCCACTGTGGCATTGGCAGAGGAAGTGAATGCATCTGTGTGCTCACAAAACAAGGGCTTCTGGAAATGTTTCTTTAAAAGATCTCTCAGTAACTAAGACCAATTTATAACAAAAAAATAATCCCCCCCCCCCGCCTCCCAGACAACAATCATTCATCATTGTGGATTTTGGAAATAATATTTGGTCGAGTAAACCGGAAGCCCATAACCGTGTGTAGAGCTCATTTGCAATCCTCACATACAGTGATAATTATTAACATCTTTCCATGTTTGCCTAAGTGTAGGGAACATCTATGAAAAGCTATGGTAAGAGTCACAGTAATGTTAATTATTTACAAAGGCATTTCTAAATATTTTAATGGTAACCACTGTATATTATGTATGTGCGCAGTTACACTGAAAATACTTTCTGTACGTATCATAGTAACAATCTGGAAACAGAAGATTTTTTTCTGTAGCATTAAGTAAAAAATTGGATGCAGATGCAATGCATTGTATATAATAGTGCCCCTCAAAGAAAGGCCTTCTATGACCTGCCCCAAGGCTGAAAACATGCTGCACATTAGCTTTGAGCCCCTTTGGGCTCATTTTCACGTATCCAATATCAGCATTCGTATATCAGTTAGGGATGTCCATGTGGATTCTTCAGAATCCTGAATAAAGCCCAAACTGGCAGTTTTCAGCTAAACCCAAATAAAACTGAAGTCTCAGTAGCTGTCTATACATTTTTTTACCTGCATTTTTGATACCTCAAAGACATTTATGGGGCTGAAACTGGCCTTCTGATGATAGTTCAGTCCCTGGAATGTGGAAATACCCTGAGATGACTAGATCTGGATTTATTTTGACCCTATAAATGGCTTGCAGATGAAACTACTGTTGAAATATATAAATACCAAGAATACCAATACTTGAATTAATCCGGTCTGGTCACTGTGCCTCTAATGCAATATCTGAATCTCCTCAGTAGAGGTAGTTGAAAATATTCTGTCAATTTTAACAGAAAATTGGGTTTTTAAAGAAATGAAGTTTTTTTATGGAAAGTGCCTGTTTCAACATTTTCATTGTTTCAGAAAATCAAAAATCCATGTTTTGCAATGAAAAGTTGACATTTTCTGTTGAAAATGTTGATGAAAAAAGTAATTTCCCTCAGACAAAACCCTATTTTCTGTGCAGCTCTACTTCTATAGACTGTGGGTCAGATTGTATCCAGCCCTGAAAGAGATTAGGAGAGGGTGTAAGATAGGGACTTTTACCACATTCAGATCCAGGTTCAGATTTCAAAGACCCCAAAGATTGGAGATCCATATTATATAATTTGGATCTGAATTTGACCCAGCTCCTGTGTAAGTTGGGATTCTGCGTTCTGGTTTCAGTCCATAATTGAGGTGAGGGGCCAGTTGCAAAGTACTGATGCTAACTGCCTCAGAATGCAGGATGGTACAGAATACACTGGGCCCATATCAACCCCCAGTATATACACTCACAGCAATTGCTATGGTAATTGGTTGTGGTGTTGGACAAAACAATTATTTTAAATGGGAATAAGCAGATGGAGCTGATGAATCTTAAAAGCAATTAATCAAATCCAAAGAGGCACTCAGCTCCTCTTAGGATTTGGCTCAAATTGCTATTTTCATATCAATAATCTGAATACTTTTTCAATAAACAAGGGAAGGAAATGCAGAAGATATACAGGGCCACTCGCAAGAACTGTCCTCTCACTCTCTGTGCTCTAGCTGGGAGAAGGATGCTCAAAAAGGGGGTGAGGAGGCAACAGGGTGATGGCTCTGACCCTTTCCACACCAGCTGTGGAGCATGGCCAATGCACTGATGAGAGCATCTTTCACCAGTGCCAGTAGAAATTATGCCTTTCTGAGACTCGACTCCTCTTTGGGCACCTCCCCATACTCAGGGCTTTGTTGATAAAGCCATAATATAGCCCATAAGATGCAAGCGGAGCTGTGTCTAAATAAAATGGCTTTTTTCATGCTTATTAATTGAGATGTCTCCAGATCTTTAAAGGTTATATCCTCCCGTGAGACTTGAGACACCTACCGTGCACAGGAAATGCTAGCTAGGTATCTAGCTCTATCATTCCTAAGGTCAGGTTTAACTGTGTGAATGAACAGTACATGCACAACAATGGTTTTGGTTGTTTTTTTTCCATCCTGTAGTTACTGCCTTTTTCTGAATTGTTTTCATTATGGCTCTCCCCTTAGCCATCTATCTTTGCAAGCGGACCATGCAGAACAAAGCTAGGCTGGAGCTGGCGGATTATGAAGCCGTAGGTATACTGATGTTACAGTTCATGGAGCGGGAGCAATGCTTTGTTCGAAAACTGAATCTTTCTTCTTAGTGATTTGAATTCACCCTTAGTAGGGAACTCTCTATTTTATTATCACTATTATTTTATTTTATTTATTTTCAAAAGATTCTATTGGTTAATTCTTGAGAGAACATCAAACTCCTAAACGAGGATGTCCATGATACATATTTTAGTGTCTCACCTTTAAGTATCCACAGCATACTCCTTCAGAGATCTGGGGCATGTTGCACAAGAGCTTACACTGGGGCTGCTTTTCTGGTTAGCTTTTGTCTTTACAGGAGCCAGTGGGGTGATAAATGTTCAGATATATTACAAGGTTAGCATTCTTGGACAATTACATTGCTGCTGATGCATATCTCATATTTGTAGACTCTCAAAGGAACGATTTACAAAAAAAATAATTTGAGCTAAATTTTCCAAATTCTATATACAGGCATTAGCTATGTTTAAAAAAGAGGCATTGTCAGGCTAAAAAGCAGACATGTGAAAATGCCCTTAACCTATGTTACAAGTCATTCGCTTTTTGCATTACTCTGAATGTAGGCAATGAAAGCATTCTAGCCAACTGCACTTTTGTTTATAATTGGGCTCTAGTCAATCTAATTTTCAGGTTCTGCTTAACTAGCTCAACAGAGTAGTGGTTGAGTTTCAAATACTTCAATGGAATGTTTGTTTGAAAAATTGTTTCTATTAGAAATGTGTTTTAATTTTATGAAAACATTTGTATTGGTCTTAGGTTTTGTTTTAAAACAAACTAACAAAACTAATTTCCCCTTCCCACCTCGTTATACAATCAAAATTTGGGAGCAAATGTGACCTAGCAGTGACCTGTTTAATATATCTAATTCATAGCCTAGCCTGTCCCCATCATGCCACAGATGTGCCCTGTGCTGACTAGAGATAAAGAAAGAACTCTCTATTGATTGCTTTTGCACACAAGGGACTATGAATGCTCCATTGGATCCTTGCACACAAGTCTTGTTGATGACAATAGGATAGTATATAAATACACTGAGGACAAAATATGGCCTTCAGTGACTGACTGGAGTCATGCTGCTGCTGAATCCACATATGGACTTCATTTCCGTGTACAGTAGGAAATAACAGTAGACTATTTTCTGGCCACAGTATACTGAGTTAAATTCTGCTCTAACACTAATCTAAATCTCCCATTGGGCCAGAGAGAGAGTGAGCATAACTCTCTAGCCTAGCAGGTAACACAATGTCCTGGGAGACCCAGGCTCCAGTCCCTGCTCCAGTGTCTATGTATGTATTTTATAAAACATGGAAAAAATTCAACAGGAGAGATTGAAAAAGGCCCATCCCAGAGAATCTTATAGCCAAATGGTTAAGGTAGTCTCTTGGGAGGTGGAAGACCTGAGTTCAAGTCCCTGTTCCCAGTTGGCAAAGCTGAGATTTCAACCCAGGTCTTTCGTATTCAGGCATAGTTAAGTTTTCTTTTGCCGCTTTACCTGCTGATTTCCTGAACCCATAATTCAGGAGAGCATCCCGATTCAGGACCACACTTAAGCATGTACTTAATTTAAGGCATATGATTAAGTCACATAGAATTCAATGTGACTTAAACACATGCTCAGATGGTCTCCTGAATGTGTATGAACTTAGACTTATGCATGAATGGACTTCTGGGGTAAATGGGTAAATTCTATGGCCTGTTATACAGGAAGTCAGACTAGATTATCTAATGGTCCCTTCTGGCCTTGGAGTCTGTGAATTATGAACCAACATGTATGTGTTTAAGTGCTTTCCTGAACTGGAGCTATAACAATAATGGGCTATAGTGGTAGAACCAATAATATCTTACCAACCGGTAAAAAGTTAAAACATTTTAACCCAGAGTAAGTGAGAAGAGAAGAGGAGGATCAGGCTAATAGTGTTCTATGTCTCCATACCTCTGTGTGCATGTGTGTAAATTTGACTTCAGAATACCTATCAGTGTTATGAAGTTAATTTTAGAAATGGGCTTAAACTTGGAATTCGAGCCATGTCCCAAACCCCACTTTACATTCTGATCAAGTTCAGATCCAGCTCCAAACTTTGTGGCTCAGGCCTCTCACTGTAATGGTCATGGAGCAGAAATCTAAACTGAACCTCAGACTTAGACAAACTTTGGATCTGGATCCAGACTTAAGCAGCTTGGGCCCATCTCTAGTTATTTCCATTGTCCTAACAAATAATCAGTTTCCTTTCATGAATTGTCCTGACAATACCCAGACTTCAGCATGCTGCACTGTGGAGTGCCTTCAGGGTTAATAATCCACTGAACAACTGAGGGATGGTCATCCTTTATGAAACAAGTAAGGCCAGAAAATACCCTTCCTCCTTCCCCACCCAGCTACCCCACAAAAGCAAAGCATGCAGGTAGTAGTCAGCTGCTATCAGAATGGGAAGTTGTCAGTTCCAAAAACTTTCACAGTAGAAAGTACACTAAGGAATACATGGAAACAAGTCCAACACTGTTTTATTAGTAGAGCTCTGGCAGTCTGTTTCACACCCTGTTACAACTCTTGCTTTGGTCCTTCCTGTTTCTGCTATGTGGTGGCTTGAAAGGGACACACACACCATTGCATTCACATTCATATCATACGTTGCCTACTGAGACAATTTACCAATATTAATTTCAGTGTTTTGAGCTTTCCAGGTTAAATAAACTGATGCAATAATTTAGTTCTTAAACTGCAGTTGTAATTAGTGTGATTAATTGTTCTCTTTATTTGTTTCTCTTATCAGGAAAACTTAGCAAGACTGCAGAGGGCTTTTGCAAGGAAGTGGGAATTCATCTTTATGCAAGCAGAAGCCCAAGTGAAGTAAGTATTCCCAGTTCAGTGAACTGGAGGAGTCTTTAGAACTTTGTTGGGGAAGGGGATTGGATTAAGACAATGTTTCCCAGTTAAAGCCTTTGCCAAAATTAAACTCGGGATTTATTGGTAAATTCTAGTCCCTGTCACACTGGAAACAGCATAGGGCTAATTCACAAGATCACATACTATGAAGAAAAAATGCCAGGATAAAGATGGGTGTAATCATCTGTGTGCAGGTCTGGAATCCAGGAACTCCTGAGCTTCTTGCTCTTGTTCAAGTCTCTTATCATTTGTGCCTCAATTTCCCACTCGGTATAAGTGGGAAGAATAATACCTGCCTGGCAGGTGTATGAGTTAATGTTTGTAAAGTACTTTGAAGATAAAAAGTGCTGCCATTTCTGCAGTAGCTGTACAGTTGGGCTTCATACAGTACATTTGTTTTATAAATATCCCCAATTATTTTTCCCACTGAATAAATCAAATCCCAGAAAACTCAGTTCTATTGTATCCATACTAACTGACCTCCTTGTGCTACCAAATCATTGTGGACTATTATGTAATACTTCCATAAGGCTTACTCGTATTTTACGAGTACTTTTTTTTACCCTCTTTCTCCTGTCATTCCACCCAGAACTGGGAATCTGCAGTTTACCTTCTATTTACCCATGATCAAAATGTGCAATCTCTTAGTAGTATATGCAACATGGCATTACTACTCCCACAATATGTACATGGTTCTGTGTTTGTGAAATTAGGGTGCTTAGAAATCTGTGTGTCCGTGTTGCAGGAGTTGTCACATGTGAAAACTACAAGGAAGATGAAGGTGACATATTAGTGATACAGAATACGGATATTTGTATTCTTGGGAAACACCGAAAAAGCAGAGGGAATTTGCACTTTCAGAATCAAACAGCAAAACAAATGTTACAAAATGAAAAGTGATTGCTACTTCTTATTATGTATGTGTATCTATGGAAGTGTGTGTATCTATATTTGTAGTACTTCGTTGATTAACACTGTAATTACATTGTAATTATGGACCATTTAAGAACATGGTAATTATCCTTAAAATAACATGGTAATTAAGGGATTATTTCAGTTCAGAATGCTAGTATTCTGATGAGATGAGAAAATTGGAATTTACAATAATAATTAGTCTTTGAGATGCTTAAAGGTTCACTGTCAAGATAAAAATCATAATTTTGTTTGATTATGTACTTCTGTCACTAGTAGCATAGATCATTACAACTGGAAGGATTTTAAGTCTTGTTTTCTTTTCACTATCAGTGATGTTTGTTTACTTTTTCTCCATTTCATTCACTTGGAGCAGTAAAACTCAACTGGTTGCTCTCACTTCCTGTCACTAGTTGGCTTCATTTCTTGGTTTTCAGACACTACTCCAGTGCTGTTTGGGCTGAGGTTTCCAGCACTGCAGAGTAAGATTTAAATTGAAAAACTACAAGCATCTGGAAACATTCCTTTTCATATCAAGTTTTGTACTCCCCTCCCCCATCTTGCATATATTGGTGTATTTACCTGTAGGCTGGACATGCCAAAGCCCTGGGCAACATCAAATGAGCAGTAATATTCAATGTGGACTTCAATGAGAGCTGTGGTCGCTTCATGTTTTGAAAATCAGGCCACCTGCTTAGTGGATTTAGTTGCAATGCTTTAAAATCATGGCCTTAATGCAATTAATTATATTGTATTTTCATAATTCAATATTTCTAATTTAAAAAAAATTGTAATCAATGGTACATTCTTGGAGATTGTATATATAAAAAAGCCCAGATCCTGGATTGTGTTGCAACCATTTTATGTTTTACTACTAGAACAAAGCAGCCCTAAAGTCAGTGTAACCAGCCACAGGAGGATTACCCACTATGGGCATGGGAATCTTTGAGTGTTGTAAAGCTGGCATAACATCTCCTATTCAATCCCGTACACCTTTGTCTGGCATAAGGGGCTAGGTTGGAAGAAAGTGGGCTGAATCTGAGGGCTTGTCTTCACTATGGGCGTAAGTCGACCTAAGTTACGCCACTCCAGCTACATGAATAATGCAACTGGAGTCGATGTAGCTTAGGTCGACTTACCCTGGTGTCTTTACTGTGCTGCATCGATAGGAAATGCTTTTCCATCAACTTACCTTACTCTTCTCAGGGAGCTGGAGTACCGGAGTCAACTGGAGAGTGCTCTGCTGTCGATTTAGCGGGTCTTCACTAGACCTGCTAAATTGACACCCGCTGCATCGATTGCAGCAGCATCGATCTCCCCAGTAGTGAAGACGTACCCTGAGTCTCTTATCCTCAGCTGCCATGCCCTTGGCCCATTGACAGCCACCTGAAGGCTGCTCTAACTTTATGCTAGGTGACCCAGAACTGGGGGAGCACAAAGCCTTTGCATGCCGCCCTCCCAGGTAGCACTATGTGCTCCTCATCTGCAGCCAAGGATCTGGGTCATTGTCTCAGCCTTATGATGCTATGTTCCAAGAGGTGATATCATAATTCCATTTATAGGTGGATCAACAACTGATCGCAACCTCTCCAACAAGGGGTGGTGGTGATAAAGACAAATAACTAATAACCCCCACAATGATGGGTTTTCTCCCAACTACTACTTTAAATTCTCATTTAAAAATAGTGTCAATAAAGATGCTGAATTGAGAGCTTTAGAAACGGACATCCTCTGTATAGGAACAAAACGGGTACAGCATATGTAGTGCCAGTGTAGGCTTCCACCACACTCCTCCATCAATATGCTTCAAACATGTTCGGAAGGGACCACATTATGCGTAAGGGGGATTGTTCATTCTCCTTGTCCCATTCAGTCTCTGACTTGTCTTCTGAAATTCCTTAAAAGTGCCAGTTTTGATGGTGCTACTGGTATTTATGATGTGGGGATCTGACCATGAGGAATTTGCAATAATTCTGTTACTATGTCCCATGTGGAACAATTTTGTGAAGTCATGTTTATTTGACTTGTTGGACCCTGATACAGGATAGCCATTAAGTTTATGTGTAACTTTTAAGTAAACAGACTTCAGAGGTCAAGTATCAGGGGGTAGCTGTGTTAGTCTGTATCTACAAAAACAACAAGGAGTCTGGTGGCACCTTAAAGACTAACAGCTTTATTTGGGCATAAGCTTTGGTGGGTAAAAACCTCACTTCTTCGGATGCATAGAGTGAAAGTTACAGATGCAGGCATTATATACTGACACATGGAGAGCAGGGAGTTACTTCACAAGTGGAGAACCAGTGCTGACAGGGCCAATTCAATCAGGGTGGATGTAGTCCATTCCCAATAATAGATGAGGAGGTGTCAATTCCAGGAGAGGAAAAGCTGCTTCTGTAATGAACCAGCCATTCCCAGTCCCTATTCAAGCCCAGATTAATGGTGTTGAATTTGCAAATGAATTTTAGTTCTGCTGTTTCTCTTT